AGAGAGTGGGGTTAAACGCCCTTTCCCCTGCTTAAATTTATGGCTGGCTGCAACTGTGGATTACAAATCCCAGAGGCACCTAGAAGCAGGAAGAAGTAGTGATGACAACCCTGCAGACTCCTGCTCCTGTAATTCTAGACTGCAAATCCCAGAAACCTCTGGAGCAACAGGAAGAGGAAGTAAACACACATGCTCTAGTGCTCCCTGGCTCTTGGTCTGAGCCACTGCAGGCATGTGGCTGCATTTCCTGAATCACAGGTAAATGTCTGTTCACTTCTTGTCTCAATTTAATTTGTGCATCTTAGACTAACCTGCAAAGACTTAGGTCGATTCAGCCTTGGGCTTTTTGACTATCTGTATCTAGCCATAATGTGCAACACACATAAAGTGAGCTCTTTGCTCTCCATCATACCTGCTTTTCAAATCCTAGATCTGCTGCTGCTAGTCCCTAAATGCCCACTGTTGATTTCAATGAGTATTTTAATTAGATTTTGCACTAACCAATGCAGCAATGCAAGACTTAAGGGTCAGATTCTCTACTCCCCAGCACCTAGTACAGCATCTATCCCCACTGCTCCTCCACCAACACCTGCCCACCCACCAACACACACACTTCTAGACATAAAACTATCACCTAGGAGCCTAGGTGTAGACAGCCATGCAAGTCACGTGGCAATACAGGATAAGGCCCAGATTGTCAGAGCTTCTGGGACATGAGAGGATTTAAGCCATACATGATAGCATATGTGATCCATTATATACACCCATCTAATCCAGGAGTTTTCAACCTTTTTTAAGGAGAGTATCCCTTCTGGGTACACTTCTGGTGGAGCATGGGGTGGGGGGTGGCAGTGGCTGGATGTGGAGTGGCGGGGCTTGCATGTGGGGGTGGCAGCACAGGGTGATGGATGGCGGCAGCTGCCATCATGTATGAGCTCCCTGCACTGCATTCAGCCAGTGCCTGTGTGGCCCACAGAGGGAAGCCACTGCCCTCCCCTACCCTCCCCCCCCCGGGCCTGCTCCTGGGAGGCAGCAGCGCGGGGTGGTGGGTGGCAGTGCTCCATCCCCACTTGCCCCCTCTTCCCCCCAAGCCTACGTGTACCCCCGGTTGACAATCCCTAATTTAATCCATTATATATCCATATGCAAACCCTACATGGGTCCAAGATACCCAAAGTTGTTCTAACCAATATTAGAAGCTATGTATATGCTACCACATACTTCTAAAGTCCTTCTATTTCCAAGGAGCTCTGGAACGCTAAAGAAATTCCTTGGCAGAACTATCTGGGTAGAAGGATTATGAGTCTACAAACACGTCATAAAATAAATATGCAGTGCTAGCAAATAGAAGATCACTGTATGCTAATTAATGGCTGTTAGAAAGGAGGCAAACTACTCCTTAAAATCTTTAATACCTTTTCTCTAGATACTAAGGATATTAGTATTTTTTCTCTTGAAATTTCTATCAAAAATCTTAAGAAATTTCTAATTTGAAGCCTGATTTCTGAGGACAGGCAGCAAAAACATAGTACTTACCTGGAGAGGACTGTGAACACTTACATTTAAAAGAAAACCAAAACATTGGAAGCCCATACTTCTGAATACAAGGTAATTGGACATTTTGGGAAAATGCACTTTGCCACAACCAACCATAATTCTATACTCTTAATCTCAAAACTCAAAATCCTGTTGTTTTCATGATGGGCTAGAAAATGTAGAGTGAGATCCTGGCTTCTGCTCATACCCCTTTACATCAGAGAAAAGGGCCAAAGGGAAATACAGAGGTCCTGAAAGCCCTGGCTCACCATGGGAGAGAATACAGGAGCAGCTGTAAGACTGTCCTCCAAGCTCCTCCTGGTGGAATGCACAAGCTACTGTGAAGATTCCAGGCAGTACTTTAGCACATCGGACAGCTTCGTGAAGCTGCTTGAACTTGGATGGGCCCGCACAGCTGTTTAAAGTATGTCAGGAGCCTCTCCCCCTCAGGTCCAGGGGGGATGTAGAAGTACTTAAAGCCACCGTAGTTTTCCTTCAGCCTGGGTTGGGAATTTAGAACCTTTCCTAATCTGCACTGGTATGTAGTGTTTAATATCCAGAGCCATCACACTAAATTGCCCATGTATATATAGACTGCATCCATTAGATGGAGTGGGGAAAGTGGTATTTAGTTATAACAGGTAACTAAATGGGATAACAGATTTTCCACCAAAGGAATAACCTCTTTCTTTTAGGACTTATTTGATTCATGAGCATCTGAAAGCTAACTCTGTTTTACCTTCAACTTTCCAGATGTTATCTTAAAATTTCCAGAATTAAGGGCTGTGTTTTTAAACACCAGTATTTTTCTCATTTAGTAATCAGTGAGTGCCAAAACTCAGCAAGTAGCCCTGCGCCCAAAATAATTGCCCTCCCCTGCCTTACACTATAGCACCCTCATGCCCCAGCCAGCCCCTCTGCAGCACCTTAAGCCGGGACGGAACAGCTCCAGGCTGGCAGGCTGACCCCCAGACACCCTGCCAGACAGGGCTGCGCCAACCTGGTGTTCTTGGGTACATGTGTAAACTCTGCACCCAGGAGCAATAAACTCCATGCGAGCTGCACTGGAGTTTATTGTGTTGTGCTAATTTCATGTGTAGATGCACACACCTGTATTCCACCCTTGTTACAGGTGGAAGCAAAAATAGCAAAAAATATCAGTAATGTCCTTCTGTTACTCTAGAAATTAAAGTCCTTCTTTAGTTCTGATCTGATTTTGAATGTGGATATATTTAAATAGCGTATCTGTGTAGATATACAGTCATTTAAACTGTAAATTAATTACTATGTTTTTTATTTTAGGAGACTGAAGCATATCAAGGTAGTTTTGGCTAATGAAATTACAGTCATTTAAAAAAGAAAAGAAGGAATGGTTGGCTGATTTCCTTTGTCACCGCTAAAATTGGGCTCAGTCCTGCATGGTGCCAAGTACTCTAACCACATCTTGCAGAACATTTAGCTCCTATAGACATGTGCAGAGCCTACTCTGACATGCTGGAAATCCAGCACATTGGAGCAGACTCAATTAATCTTGGTTAATCGAGCCTGCTGGAGCATGGAAACTGATGCGCTCTGGCAGCCTTCCACATCATGTGTATCAGTGTCCCTGCACGTCTCCATGCTAAAAAAATGGCAGTGGGGCACTTTGAAATAAAACACATTCAATGAGCTTTAGTTCAAAGTGCCCCACCATCAGTTTTTCAGTGTGTGGATGCTTTTAATTAGCACAGCTCTTTAATTAAAGCGCCCAGCGCCACATCCCGGAGCACATGCCTGATAAAAATGTCCTTAAACTCGTGCTGGTTTTAAAAACACGGATCTTACCTTGACATCAGTGCTACAGTCATACCTTCCCTGGTAAGCTATATGTAGGGGTGGAGAAGAGGGAAGACAGAGCAAGAAAGCAAAAAGGGAAACGAAGAAAGCGGTTGATATTGAATGGATATTGACCAGAATAGCTGGCATCCTCTGTTGGGTTGGGTTTTTTTCAATCATGAGTGAATGGGGTCATTTTCCCCTCAGAAGCAATCAGGATATCCTCTTCAAAGCCTAAAAAATTAGGCTGTCTCAGACTTCTTAGTCTTACTGGATGCAAGAACATTTTTTCTTCATTGACAGCAGTAAGAGATGAGAGGGACAGAGAAATGGAATACCAACTTCTTGGGCCTAACTGTTGTTTTCTCTATAACAACATATATAGGAACAAATCCCTGTGACATATCAGCAAAGTCATTTAACCTTTATGCCTCAGTACCCCTCTGTGAAATGGGTATAGCCATGCTGCTAAAACACATGATGGGGGTAAATACAGGAAAGATGATGAGGCACTGAGAAGGAAGTATACAGTTGTTGCTGTAAGAGACTTCCTGAACCATAACCATAATTTTGTATAATACATATTTACATAACTGAAAATACATACAGTTAAGTGAATTATATAACCAATTTTCACCACATATTTTAAAGATGACATGGTTCCCTTTTTCCAAAGCATTCTATTGTCTAAAAACCATACACTACTCTTGAAAAACAATTCTTTTTTCCAAAATCTTTATGGTGAACTGAATGTTTCTGTACCCACAACTTAGACTAACATGATACAGCCTTATGCAAATTAAAAATATGTTGTCAGTGAATCAAATTACGCATGTGTTTGTTCAGGGAAATATGTCGTGCATGCTTATCTTTTCAGTAAAAGAATTCAAATAGACAATTGAAGGCTCAAAAGATTTCTGGGTTGCATAGTTTTGATGCTACTGGAGTGATGTTGTAGTCATAATGGTTTGGGATAGTTTTGATACCATATTTATTAAAAATAAATCAATTTAGCAGGAGTATATTATTTTAATACATTTATATGTATTACAATGTTAAGTGTGCGTGCAACAAAGAATCCAGAGTAGCGATTTCTCACAAAAACCTTGTGCATTTTAAAAAGAGTTAAAACTGCATCCACTTAGTGGATTACTGGCTTGAATCTTTTCATTTTGATTAAGGCAAGCTAATATCTTCCTCATGAGCTTGTATTGTCTAATTATGTTGATCATTTTGTTGGTTTTTATGTCCTTAGGTTATCATCTGGCAAGAAAGCCCACTTGTCTCTCTAAAACCTATTCCTTCCAAGATTTTTCCTTAAGTTTATTTCCATGTCAGTATGGTCTCTATATCCTCTGACTTCCTTTTTTACCCTGTATTTGGTGTTGTCTGGATTAGATTGTAACACTTTGGATTGGGGACATTATCTCACTTTACATTTTTAAAGAACTGTATACATTTGCTATGCTGTCCAAATAGTGTATTAATAATTCAGATGTCAAGTGATTTGAAATCAAGGGGCCATTTCTTTAAGGTCTTTTGAGAGCAGGTTAGAAAGAGCTTCCTGAAGTATTCTAAAAACTAAATATTTGCCTCTGCTAGATGTAAAGAGGGCTTTTTTTCTTCTTCCAGTCTCAGTCTGTACCTACCCGTCCTGTTGCTTGCCAGGTAAAATTCATGGAGTGGATATTGACAGGAATAGCTGGCATCCTCTGCTGAGCTTTTCTGAAATCATGAGTGAATGGGGCCATTTTCCCCTCAGAAACGATCAGAATATCCTCTTCAAAGCCTACAAAAATAACAAAAAAGGTGATGAATTGGGAAGAGAGGGAAACAAAGCAGGATTTTAACACTGGTTAAAACACAAATATTTATTCTGGAGACCGCTTTTTATTCTCAGCGGCACCTAGCTGCCGGATCAACTTTCCCTTTCTTATCAAGCCAAAGCCAGATTGCAAACGCCTGAAGCAGGCGAGGGCTGCAGCCAGGATTGGAGGGGGGCGGTCGCTAGAGGGTGGCCAGCATCACCTTGACGCGCTCCTGGGGCTCCCAGGTCACCTCAGCACAGGGCTTTGCCTCGGGAACTTCTATGCCAGGTGGTCCAGGGCCAGATCCCCTCGCCTGCAGCCGCAGCCTGGCGCTGCCCCTGGAAGTCAGCCGCAGGTCGCGGGAGAT